TGAGCAGTAGAGGGTAGATGAGGGACAAGGCAGTCCCCTGTGTGCCCCAGAACTAGCAGTGACTGATCCCTCCTGTCCTACCTTTGTCTTGCCACCTCCTGGCTCAGACATGACGGAAACTGAGCTGAGCAGATCGGTAAAGTTACCAGTTAAGTTCACGGTGTAACCGGTTAACAAAACTAAATGTCTTCTTCCTTAAAGACTCTTCCTCGCAGTGTGTCCTTTGTGCTGTCAACAGAAAAATAGGCCAGACTCACATAACTCAGCGCAGAGGGAAGGAAGCTATACCCTGACTTAAGGAAAAGTTTCAGATGAAAATACCACTCTGCTTCCCAGGCAAGGTAATAGGAAAATGGCAACATGTTTTACGATTTTATTTGAAAATAAATTGTCATGTAAGGCATAGCAGGAGTTTTATTACATCAACAACTGGTATCTGTTAAAAATACATTTCTGGGTTGCCTTTCAGCATGGGCCCTTTGAATGAGCAAAATCCAAAATGACATTCCAGTGCACAGAAATATAGATGGATGGACACACAGAGAGATGGAAACATTTCTTGATAGCCTCCTTTCCTCTCCCCTGGCCCAAATTTGGATCGTTTAATATATATACCATTTTGTAACTAAAATAGGTTGTCTTTGCTGCACAGAAAGTTGGGGTTGATAGCACTAATTATTTCTCATTATTTCTTTTGATCACAGGTGATACAAGTGGTAGAGTCATGGGTGTTAAGTAAACATGTTTTCTCCCTTCAGGCTGATGTTGGAGGACTTCTCTTTCTAGATGTATTAGGATAATACTTGCAGCTAAGAAATAATGTACTTTTTATTGACATGGCCAGATGGACTCATTACTTGTCCAAAGACACATGGGTGTTTGGATTCCAAGATCCACATGGCATCTTCTAATTATTGGACACTTTTTCAGCCATCCGGACAGTTTTAGGCTATGAATAGCGGCTTCTTTAGTATGTGTGCTGCGGAAGGGAGCACAAATAGTGGCTTCTTTCATATCTTCTTTCATATCTTATCCTTTTGCCCTGCTCTTTCTGAGTCGAAGTCAGCATTTAAAAGGGACTTTCTCTGGGGAGGTATGGGTGGCTCAGTCAGTTAAGTGGCCTCCTGCTGCTCAGGTCAGAATCCCAGCAACGAGTCCCATTTCAGCCTCCTTGCTAAGCAGGGAGCCTGCTTCTCCTTCTGCCTGCTGCAACCCCTGCTTGTGCTCTCTCTTTGTCTCTGTCCCTCTCTTGGACAAATAAATAAAATCTTTTTTTAAAAAAGATTTTATTTATTCATTTGACAGACAGAGATCATAAGTAGGCAGAGAGGCAGGCGGTGGGGGTTGGGGAGGATTCAGGCTCCCTGCTGAACAGAGAGCCCAATGTGGAGGCTCCATCCCAGGACCCTAAGATCATGACCTGAGCCGAAGGCAGAGGCTTAACCCACTGAGCCACCCAGGCGTCCCTAAACTCTTTTTTTTTTTTTTAAAGTGACCTTATCTGATTCCCTTTCTACTATTGTTAATGGTCCTCCCAAAGTGAATGAATGAGCTTTTACTCATTATTTACCTTTTACTTTTCTCACTTTATCTTATGCCTCTAGGTAGGATGGGATTAGACTGAAGAATGAGGAAAGGGTACACAGTACAACTGGTGATAGATACAAGTAAACCAGCAAGTGGTCTAGGAGCACTACATAGAGTCCCCTACTTAGTCTTGAGAATCAGAGAATGTCTGTATATGAGTTGGCCTAGTGAAGGGGGAAGGAGGTAGGGGAGAGTAGGAGAGTACCCAGGCAGAGAGCTTTGCCTATGAAAGTGCCAGGGAAGATGTCCATGATTTTCCAGAGGACTACAATGATATTAGTATTTCAGGAGTACAGAGTGCAGAGGTGGGTTTTGTATTCTCCAGTATTTGTTAGTACAGTGTTGTTTCAGTACACACACACACACACACACACACACACACACACACACACACACTAGACTATCCTCCCTACCTCTCTAGATAGGGAATATATTCTTGAGTCTTCCATCAGCCCCACCCCTTTCCATTGTTCTACTCTATCCTGATTATTTTATTACCTTCCCCACCCACGTAGGCATTTGAGTTGGGACCTTCGCCTCTGAACTTAGATTAGACAAAGATCAAGCTCAAACTATCTCAGTTGCCATTTCTGGTATGACGGAAAGGAAACTAGCTTTTCGATGGGAATCTGAAGACCAATACAGTGAAAAAGATCTTACCCCCGAGATAAGACCAGGATGGTTACTCACATCCCCTTCCCTGGAGGAAAATGGAGTATGAAAACAGATATTTATTGAGATCCTATCATGTGCAAGGTACTATGCTAAGTTCTTTTATAATAGGCCTCTCTATAAAAGATGATAGTAATTTAAAAGGTCACAGGTCCATGTTTGAAATTAAACGTATAATTTATAAAGTGATCTCATGCATCTCCAAATATCTTATATATGAGAAGGTCACTTTCATGTATAA